TGTGTGTGTGTGTGTGTGTGTGTGTGTGTGTGTGTGTGTGTGTCTCCTAGATTTATCGTATCCTGGGAAAGACAGTGGTGTGCTATCCAATAGTGTTTGATCTAAGTGACTTTTACTTGTCACAAGATGTAATGCTGCTGATTGATGACATTAAGGTAAGTGAAGTTCACTTTTTATGTGTTTTAAAGACTTGATTGAATCAAATGCATTTACTTTGAATGGCCCAACAGCCTCACGTTTATGAAAAGAACACAGAACCAATTGATTTGTGTGTTGTTTGCACTTGGCCTCTGCAGAGGACTTTTAGAAATTCAGAARAGTCATAGTCAATACCTGGACTTATTCTGGCTCACTCTAAACCTACCATTTTATAGTTTTGACCAGTAAATGACACAGCATACAGAAAATTATATATAAAAAAACTTAGAGTTTGTAAACTAAACCAATGAAAACATTTAACAYTGACATTCACCTTGTGGGCACAGTTTGAATTAAAACTGCAAGCAGTGAAAAAGGTCCTCGTGTACCAGTGCAGTCTGAACTTTATATTTCCAGCTAAAGCAGTTGCAGCTTCATCTGTCAAGTTTTGTTAGGCACAGCCAAATMCAACATTACGAAAAGGCCAGTTATTGACCATTCGGGACACATCCAACTTCGCTAAGCTGCCCCAGCTATGCCCTTTGGAAGCTCTGAATCATGAYTATCTTTTTGGTTTCTCAAAGGATCTAAACTTTGCCCATCAGTTCTGAAGCTGCTAGGATGAAAACCGTAGATGAAAGATACTGTATTCTTAAATACAAATAGGTATTTTTACACTGCCGCAAGGTAGCACAGTAGTAGTAGTAGTAAATCTGAGACATTAGCATATGGTCATGTTCAGGACTTAATAACAATGTATTATGTACATTTTTCAAATTTCAAACACTTTCCTGTGATGTTACCCCAAAGATGTGTTTAATGAGTAAATGGGAAAGCTCAAAAGAAAAAGAAAAAAAAGAAGCTTGCACCGATCAGATGGCAACAACCATTAATACATTTTGTGCACTAGGTTGTGAAGAAGCGCCAAACTGAAGACAAAATAGCATTTGTTGTGACAAGTGAAAAACTTAGGTTTTACATTATAGTRTCAAGGGAATTTTTTATGGGCTCTGAACCGATACACTGTAGGCATAGTTTAAGTAATTAAAGGGGCTGCAATCAAGACGGCTCTAGTAAGCTAATTTGCCAATCTCACATCTGGAATTTTGTGCCTCCACATATTTTCACAAGTTCTAAATATGTGCCAGGTTTCGAAAAGCTCAGCCYGCTAGAACATTATGAAAATGTCAGTTATGCACTTTTGAGGACACGTTTAAGGTGGCCAAGCTCAGACCACGCTCTTTGTAAGCTGCTAGCGATGACTTTTTTCTTTGTTTCTAAAACTTTCACGCAGCAATTTTGAAGCTTTTAGGATGAAAAGTTTGAGTGGGAGATTTTTTTTTCAAACACAATAAGTCATTCTTATAMTGCCACTAGGTGGCGCAGTTATCAATTCTCATCATTTGCATATGGCCATGTTCAGGACTGGATGCCTATCATGTATATTTTTGCACATTTTGGACAATTTATAGCGATGTTACACCCAGCAACATGATCAAGTAGAAATAACCATATCCAAAGAATGCCATGCCCACATCTGGATTTTTGTGCTTCCCCATTTTTAAGCTAGTTCTAAATATTTGCCAAGTTTCATAATTCCCAACTCACTAGAATATACTGAAAAAAATACAAATAGTAATATTCAGGTGAAAAACAGTAGGGCCTTCTGCTGTTTCAMAGCGCTCAGGCCCTAATTGGATGACCTGTGTTTTTTGGAACTTCCTTTATCTGATGGAAACAAAATTCCAGACAAATTATTGCTCAAGATCACCTTAATATTGAAAAAAATGCAGTTGTTTTGAAAGAAAAAAATGAAAAAATGAAGGATGACTCAGAACTTTTGTGTAGTATGTTTTRGTAAACAGCAGTTGTCCAGTTTAAAGGTAACAGTGGATTTTTAAGTCTTTATAAAAATGAAAGGTTTGAACATTTATAAGTCAAAGCTAACAAAAAAAAGACTTTTTTATCATGCAATATCATCAGAGATAGAGAAACATCATAAAATATTAAGAGCACCAAGAATTCACAAGAACCAGAGTGTARTAATTTATTTTGGGGATTTTGAAGAAATCAGTACCAAAATTTAGAAACAGATKCAGTACATTTGATCAGCATATTTTTAATGTCAAAGAAATTTGCCAATTCATAAAATGAACTGTGGAATCAAGTGGAAAAAGAATAATAATCAAGTGGTAAAAACTCTTTTTAAATACAGTAAACGTGCAGATAATAAAGATTTACCATTGTGCAATCACATAAAATTATAGTACAATATTTTATTGATATTTGGCAAAGGTTAACCTTGGGTAAGAAGCAAGGAGTGCCTCACATTGCGTACATCCCTTGGCACAGTTTGCTCAAAGACGTGATCTTACACATTTAGACTTTTTATTGTTCTTGTCTGCAGTCAGAACCAGTTTTGGCTGTTTTTCTTTGGCGTATCCTCCTACATAGCAGCACAACACGAGTTTGCATCTTTTTCATCCAAAAGTGTTTTTTTTTTTTGCTAAGGGTCAGCTGCCCACAGTTTCCCAGACTCACAGATTCAGTGTAACTCCTGACTTTCCCCATTTATTTTATCTGCACAAAATGTTGAAAGGACATTAAAGCAGTATATGAATGTTTAATACGTGAATGTAAATAGAAGTGTAAATTATAATAATAACAAATTGGTAAACTAGTAAGCACTTTCCACTCTCCATCAGTTTACCTAAAGTTCAGGTCCAGTAAAGCAAGCTGTGCGATATATTTTTTTGTTGTTGTAGTTTTATGTCAATTTTTGGGGGATGAAATAGTTTTCAGAAATCTTGCAGAGCCTTTGCTGTGATTTTTTTTTCTTCCACTTAATAACAATTGTACTTGTTTTTGATGCAGTGCTGCTTGAGGAGCTCTGCAACTTAAACTCAGCTTGACAATTGAGGAGACTGACCTTTAGAAATGCCACTGATCCAGTTATTACACAGAAATAATGGAAACTGATCCCTTCAAACAAAGAGTGTATCCATGCCAAACTGAAATGCCATGTGTGTGTCTGTATCTGTGTCTGTGTCTGTGTGTGTGTGTGTGTGTCTATGTGTGTGCCCAGAATGCCCTGCAGTTCATCAAACAGTGCTGGAAGATGCAGGGACGTCCCCTCTTCCTGGTTCTCATCCGTGAGGATAACATCAAGTAATCAACACACTCCAGAAACTTTTGAAGGCTTTTCTTCTCTTTTTGGTTTTATCAAGACATTCTCTCATTTTCCAGTTTTGTTGTAATCACTCACTCTCTATGTAACAACATTTAATACTGTCKCTTTCAACATAGCCTCTGTAGAACTATTTGTCATCTACCGTTTCTTGCTTACTGCCTCCATTTCTTTTTCCTTTTTTCTGTGCTCCATTTATCTTTGTTGCAGAAAGGTGTTACTGTATTTGCTTGCTGATTGGGTGATAATGTTTCTCATTTGTATCACTATAGTCTGGCTGGTGGGCTGATTACAGCAGTATTGACTATTACCCAGGGAGCCATATGTTAAATGTGCTCCAAACGTTTAAACAGCCTCACTGCGGCATTCAGATCGAGCTCTCATAAAAGCAGCTCAATAGTCATTAGTGTGCTATTGATCAGGGTGATGACYTGTACTGTAAGTGACAGAAGACTGAATTAATGATATAGGGATTTTTAAACAGAGCCTTTATCTGCGTTTGTTTCAGAYTGTGTTTGATGCAGATATGACGGAGTATATATTTAACATTCTGACTTGTGTCTAACCAGAGGGAGTCGCTTCAACCCCGTCTTGGACATGCTGGCCTCGTTCAAGAAGGGCGTCATTGGAGGAGTCAAAGTTCACGCAGACAGACTGCAGGTTTGTGGATCCAGTTTTCCCACTTAGTGTGTGTGTGTGCGTGTGTGCGTGCGTGTGTGCGTGCGTGCGTGCGTGCGTGCGTGCGTGCGTGGGCGTGTGTGTGTGTCCTGTATGTGAATAGTTGTTTGACTTTATGTAGTCCTGTGATGGACCAGTCCTGGGGGAATCCCACCTCTCACCCAATGACGGCACCTCCCAACCCTGAACAGGATCAAATGAGTATGAATGAATGAATGAATGAATGAATGAATGAATGAATGAATGAATGAATGAATGAATTGTGTCACAGGAAAAAAATACTGATAAAACAATACTATGGTTACTATTCTTTGGTTTGTTTTCTTTTTGGTTGATCATGAGTTGTGGTTCTTCCATGCTTTGATCTTTAATCTTGATTATTCAAGAAAAGTTAGATTTCCACTAAATCTGACCATACGGATGGTTCTAAGAAACAGTAAAGTACCTCTCAGCCTCAAATTATGTTTCGTGGAGTAAACTTATAAAAACTAAAATTAGGTTGAGGTAGAAGTAGGGCTATTTTCCCATTGCTAACCTAAATCACTTTGTTAAACTTTTGACAGGTTTTCTAAATCTAACTTCTGTCCCAGTATGTTTGTGTTGCTCGGAAAAGAATTCCTCATCTGATTTTTTTTTTTTTTTTTTGTCTGTGATCTACACTTCCTCCTTGCCTTTGCCTTTTTACCATTCACTTCACAGCTAACTCCCACATCTTTGAAAAACTTCTACTTTTCATCATCTCATTGTTATGGAGAGCACAGTTGTTCTTCTTCTRCATCTCTTATTTTATTGTTTTTAAGTTGACTTCAATAAGAATGGCTAATATCTCATTTGAACCTTGGGAGGAGGGCAATTTGAACTACATTATTATTTTAATGTTTTTTCACTCTTTTTAAAGTTGTACCAGCCAATTTTTGTTTTAGACTCTCACTTATTACTGTGCATTAACATGTTTGTCATTTAAAATACATATTACTGCTACACTAACTCTAGTTCAGACAAAGTCAGGACATGGTGTAAAATGAAAATAAAACCAAAAAGCAATCATTTTCAAATCTTTTAAACCAACATTTTACTCACAGCACTGTACAGTAAACACATCAAAGGTTCAAATGAGGATTTTATTTTATTTTATTTTATTTTTTTGGAAACAAATATGGTAATTTAGAATTTTATGGCAGCAACACGTGTCACAAAAGACAGAACAGGGATGGAAGAAGGCGGCTGTTAATGTAAAGTGGGACAAATAAAGAAAACAGCAGGAGGATCATTTACCMGTGAATTAGTTTAATTGGCAGTTGGCAATTTCCTGTGCCAAAGCCTGCTTAAAATGGACTGAGGCAAAGTGGCAAACTGTTCTGTCGGCAGACGAATCAGAAGTTTAAATTCTTCTCTGAAATCACGGTCGCCACGTCCTCCATACTGGAGAGTTGCTTGATAAGTCTCTCATTTCTTGATTTATTGTATAATTTAGAATAAATTTTTTTAGAAATTTATTCATTTCATTTGTAACACAAAATAACAAAAAACATGCAATCAAAATAAAATGAAATAAAATGAAAGGCAGCAGAAGAAGAATAAATCTTATAATACAGTATATGTCCCTTTTTTGTACCCGAAATATGTTCAAAAGAAAAGTATAAATTTGTCTCTTGTATGGTTCATGCAAACTGTTCGCAATAAAACTTCCTCATGCCTTTTTTTTTTCTTGTTGACCTTATAGACGCTGATATCTGGGGCATTTGTGGAGCAGTTGGACTTTCTGCGTGTCAATGAAGCAGAGTAAGAGCTTTTTTGCCTTTTATGCTTTATCAGACATGACTATTTTGATTATATATGACTTATTAAAACTTCTGTATAACTTGTAAAATGCTTGACTGGAAAGAAAATTTGTAAATGTAGTCAGAATCATATTGCCAGCATTAGTTTGTGTGCTGAAATATTTATTGCAAGTTATTTAAAAATGGAAACACATAAAAACCTGTATGTCTGATCCGCTGTCTGATTCCTGGTAGCAAACATAATTGTTTATTTCTGTGCAATTTTTATTTATTTTTTTTTATATTTTTGCAAAAGAATCCCAGAATTTAAGAGCTTCGAGGAGCTGGAGCTGCCAAAGCACTCAAAGGTGAAGAGACAGACGAGCACGCCGAACGCCTCCGACCTGGAGCAGCARCCGGAGATCAGCGTGGAGGAGTGGCAGAACAAACCCACCCATGAGATCCTGCAGAAGTTTCATGTGAGTTTACTGGCTGTAAAGAACAGGATTTTGTTCTTTAGAGGTGTGCACAAATGCACATCCATCACTTGCTGTACCTCCCTCAGCTCTGMTAGATGAGCTCAGGCCTCCTCAACAGCTTGCTCCTTTTGCACAACAGGAAGTCTGTGATATTCCACACACTTGTTTTTCAGCAGCTATTTTCTGTTGTACCTTCATATGCACTTTTGCTTTCAGAGAAAGATGTATCCTTTGCCATTTTACATTTTCAGCTTTTTTTCATTTATATTTTGTTGTGTTTGTGTAGGAGTGTGACTGCTTAGCCAGTCAGGCTCAACTTGCCAGCATCCTTCTTAGAAGAGAAGGGCCTGACTTTCTTGCCAAAGACGGTAAGCTCACACTGCACAATAATAAAATAATAATCAGCCACAAGCTGTTTAGAAAGCATTTTTTAAAAAGCTTAGCCTTCCYTGAAGGGAGATATAGCACTTGTTGACTTTCATGCCAGAGTTCTAAACTAAGATCAGATTGTCTGAAGTAATGAAAGTTTTAGCCTTGCATACAAATCTTTAAAATAATGTTTATTACGATGGCATGCATTATTGTAGATCTCACAAGATCTGTTAGTGCTCTGAGTGTGTGTGTGGGGATGACACTTAGCTACTGCCACACTCATTTTCCTTCTTTATTTTTTTTTGGCAGCGTTGTAAACATTTTTGTGTCTGATTAGTTAAGGCAGCATCTTCAACCAAACGGACAATAAAAGTTAATGTTTTCAGATACTTTGCTAACAGGATAGGCAAAAGAACACACGCAACTATGCAGTTACATCATTACCATCTTTTTTGGTAGCACGCTTCAAAAACAGCTATATGTTTGGCAAAAGTTTACGTTTGTTCTGTCATGTTTTTATCATGTTGGTCATCCCTGCTTGCATCAAGTATTTAGGAGATTTGAATATAGCACCTGTTATAAAATACATGTGCATGTGGTCCCAGCACAAATCTGTTTGTGATTCCAGAGAACCTGATGGACGAACTGGAGAGAATCTACAGAAGAGCTGGCAGCAGAAAACTTTGGTCTGACACACACACACACACACACACACACACACACACACACACACAC